AGGAGTCCAACTAATGTGGCTAAAACTTCAGGTTCCTTCATTTGTCTTCTATGTTAGTGCTAATTATCGTTTCAAGAGTTTCAAATTTTTCATATTTCATCTTCCGAAAATGAGCACTGGGTTCAATGAATCCTAGCATTCAATTTTTTTATTACACACTTACGTATGATGAACAGCGGACGGTGTAAACCCAATATAGTCACGAGGACCTACTGTTCAGTGATGGTTACTGGTAACCTGATCCCCGGGATTTGGAGTGGCGAACCACATAAGACACCGATAGGTCAGGTGTGGTATTGAACCAGACGACAGCAGGGTTGCCTACCACCAAAGTTGGGTGGCGGGGCTCGAACCTCGGACCGTAGGGTTCAAAGCACGCCTAAGACAGCGACTAAATTACTACGCCACCACTGTACGCTAAGTTGGTTTCAGCATCTACTGCTGGATGTTTCTCTGCACCAAATCACGTGCACCCTTCATGCAAAGCTTGAATGTGCCTGAAGTCTGACATATCGTAATCACCTGTGGGATGGAACTGCGCATTCTGCTCGTTCTCTTCTTAACCGAGTTCAAGGTAAGACTATTCAGCTCATCACGGACCTCCCGAATCTTCAATTTGTAGTCACTTTCTCATCAGCGGAGCAGAATTTTTACTACTTCATTTGTACCGTTAGTTTGATTAGAGGATCCACTTTGGCGGTCATTCTTTCTCTGTTCTTTTTTAGTACATCTCGATTGCAGGTGACCAGATGTTAAACTTCTATTTCCGAGTCTTCTATTTTTCCCCGGAAAGCAACTGTGAAACATTTATCCTGCTTTTGTTTTTCTTGTCTACCATCCCTTTTTCCTTACGATCTGGATGAAAAACAGCTCCTGGATTTCTCTTTTAATATAGCCTATCTTCTGTTTCATAGTATGCCTCTGCTCATCGGATATACCTTTCTGTTGTAAGCCGAGTCATCTTACATTAAAAGTTAACTTCCCATTCACGACTTTACGGTACAAAGTTGCTTCCATTTTTTTCATTTCAGAGTGCACTTTGGGCCTTTGCATAAATAAATGATACCTGCAGGATCGGGTAATTGGGTGACAGCGACAGCCGTATTTTTTCCCAAAACTTAAGTTGTGGAACATTCTCTTACATTCGGTCTTTCCCTCAACTTACAACCTTACACTTTTTAAAGGCAAAATCAACATACTGGATCTTATGTGTGATTCTCTACTCTCTCTTTTACAGTACGCTGTTCGACTGTGGATATTTCCGCTTTAACCGTCACTCATATTGGGTACTAAAAAAATCCTGACGGAACAGATTCACACATGTGAAGAAAACCGCTAAGGATATTACAATTTTGATTGCATAGATCGCTCGTCAGGGAAAAACTAAAAGCCCTCAGAAACCGATCCAGATAGCCCACCGCTTCTCCTATCCACAACCTGGAGAAGCAGAAAGTAATCTACTGCTTTTTCTGAGGACGCACAATTTGTGGATCACTTGGCATTTCGGGGGACATTGCGTAGTTCAGTTCATAAAATCGTTAGCTTTGCAGCTTGATGAAGCGGTTTTATTGGTTACCTTTTGGTTACTCATCTATCGCACAGGAAGGAATACAATTGAGTCAGGAAACCTAACGCGACCTATTCGATTAAGTGCCTTGATTGTCATGCCCTTGTCTAAGGGCTTAGTTTGATCAGCCCTGATTTTTTCCGACTGTTACCTGTCTCGACAAACATTGCACGCCGAGTTGACCGATGACTGATGAACATACGGAGACACTGTTGGGAAAAAAAATGGTTCCCAACAAAATAGTCACAAAAGTGACTCAATATAAACTGAAAAGAAGCGCAATAATCGGAAAACCTCAACGAGATAAAACGTATACACAATTACGCAGATTACAAATATTATCACCGGTACTGTTTCCGCCAAAAGCAACAAAAACAAGACAGCTTTACCTGAATGTGTTTGCTTCAAATCCTGCACAAATCGACGTCTAAGAGCGATTTCTGTTTCCAAACGAGCAGCCCGACCGGTCCGATTGATGCTTGCCAGTTCGTCATTCTCCTGTTCCAATACACGAACTCGCATCATGATCAGCTTGCCATTTTGACTGGATACGGATGGAAATCCGGTGCAGAGCAAAGGGGTGGGCAAACGTGTGGGGAGGGGGATGAATCAGAAACAATATGATCCATAAACTGAAAACGAAAATCTAACACCAGGTTACTGGTAGCGGAACAAATTGACAAGTATGGAGAAAAACAGTTCTGGTGAGCGTCAGCCGATTATTTTTGCTGACTGGCATAAATGGGAGATCGTAAAACGAACAATCTAAAAGAAATAAACTGAAAGACGTACACACTTAAACACATCAATATAAGAAAGGATGAAATCTCTTTTTAATCCACAAAGAACTTCCTCATTATTTTTTCCTCACTTGCATTGAGTTCGAATAAGAAGCTCCCATAGGATGTGAACATAAGCGACCAAACAAGCCATAAACATTTTGACACGGAAGGGTGAAAACATTTGCTGTTTGCAGAGGTAATTAGTTAAAAAGAAACAGCTGGTGGATGGCTCAACGAAAATGGTGACATGGAAGCTTTGTAGGGGCGCTGGAACGTGGGATGTGAAACGAACCCTGAATAAGTCCTAAACAGTCAAATCGAGTTGTGCCGCCAAATTAAACCTAGCTTTCGGGCAACCAATCAATTAGAAAAACAACGCTGAGGATATAGCAGACGCGATTCATATTATATAACTATGTCCATTTCATTAGTACAAAATATACGAAGGCAGAAAGAATAACGCGGCGGTAAAGTCTCTGCGCTACGATCCCAGTAGGCAGATAGTAGAGCTGTCTGCAGAAAATGCTCATTTAGATAGGATTCATGGTCAAATGAAACGAGCAAAACGAGCGATTCGAAATACATTGAAGGTCATGGAAGACCAGAACTAACTAATAAACATTCGACGCCTGCTATTTTGAAAAACTAGTTCGTCCACCCAGTCATGGTTCAGCAATATTTTCATAAAATATAGTACCTGAAGCGTCTGCCGGGAAATTATACGTGGCAGGGCATGGGATGATCCAATGAAATGATTGCAAAGAGTAGACTTTGGGAGTTCAAATTCGGTCGATGGAAAGTTTGTCGAAACAGGTCTTTTAAATACCTCATCAAAAAGAAACACTCCTTGAAAGATGCTTTGAGTGTAGTATCCGGTAATAACCTCAAAACCATCTGCATATGGACGTTTATTACACCGGTGTCACCAATATGTAAAAAACTCTGTGAGGAAAGTACCTTATGGAAGATCAGAAGCTGGGTGCCGACATTTCGTTGGTGAATGTATAAACGAAAATAGATCAGGTGAGTTTGATTGAGCAAACCGTAATAAAATGGAACGGTTACTACTATCATTAAGCAAACAGATGAATCATTGAATAGAAATAGCAACTTATATTGGATATCAGAGAAAAATTTCCTAGTACGTTAGGTAAGGGCGCTGTCTCGGAAGCCAAAGACTATTCCATTGAAACTTATGCGAAGTCTAGCACAAAGACCGGGAACACTGGAAGGTGAAGATAATGTTCATGTAGAAAAGCAGTTGTGAACGCTTTCTGAGTAACCGGAAGTGTCACAGCAGTTGACATGTCAGATAGAGTCGCAAAAAAACCGCTAGTTTTCAAGCCGATGTATGAATACATTTGCAGTATTGATTCGAACTACCATGTTCTTATGTACTAGCTCGAAGTTAACTTTGCACGAGATCGGCTAACAAACCCAGGAGTACGACGGATAACGAAATCAGAGCAAATTAACGGAATTCTCATAGCGAGTATGGTTGAAGATTGATATCGCTAAATCATTCGTTTGTTAAAACGCCCAGAATGAAGAGCCCAAAAAGCCCGCCCAACCTAGACTGCTCAATTTCGATCAACATTGAAGTTAAAACTAGTATGACAATGGTATCTACTCCTGACAAAAAACGAACAGTGAAGTTACCCAACACAAATAGTGAATCTGCATTTGGTGCTTCGGCTCCTAGTACGCGGCGCTTCAAATCTTCAAATATGACTGCATATATGATAATATACTGGAGGGGGAATCGCTACTTTTCGTTCGGTGTCCACGGTGCAGCACAGGTAATTGAATGAAATTCGACTGTGAGAAAACTGAATTTTAATCATTTTTTTACCCTCGGTACCCTCGACGAACCTCAGATGTACGACGAACGGTGTTGTCAGTGTACCGATGTCCTGAAAATTTAGTAATGCCAAGTTTTACAGATGGGTATTTATTCAAGTAGATAAATCAGACCAAGTCGGAGATCGAATTCTCAACAGTTCGTGGGGCGCAGTGATAACTGACCATTCTTATCGAAGTAAAAGTTCGAGGATAAATCAATCGAATCATGTCAGTACGACATAAACGACTCGGGGAAGTTTTAGACTGAAGTCCTAAAGTATGGTAGTAATCAACAAACCCGAAACGTAAACGTATATCAAGTTTTTGCCACTTATACCGCCAGACCAAGCATAAAAATTAGCCGTAACTATAATCGGTTGGAGAAGAAACAATCATCAGTATAGAAAATCTAAAAAAATAAAAGATTATAAGAAGCTTGTCGAATAAATGCCAGCACCACAATATCACAGGTCAAAGCAATACAAATGAAAAAAGGATGTACGTTCATAGTGAGTGGTGCAAACGAAGCTGTCTCAATAAAAACGATTAAAAAACGATGGGAGGAACTAGAAGAGGGGAGGGTCACGGAAGTGTTTTCATTTCCGAAAGGGATGTCATGCTCGGTGGAATTTCGAAAATGCGATTTTCGATGGAAATGGAAGTTTTTAAGCCTGAAGGACAGAAGCCTGTACGCACGTACATACAGGTTTTTACGAGCATGTCAGCCTATGGCACAGTTTGACGGAGTTGTGTGAGAGATCAGGTGTGTATCGGATTGAGGAACATTAGCAGCAGAATAGTAACACGGAACTTAGTGAGCGCCTCGGTTTGAGCTACAACGTTCAGAAGAAACCGCGTATTGTTTGGAAAAGGGAATATCACAACGAAACAGATGAACCGGGAGAAATCAGGGGAACCGGGACGACACAAGAGGGAAGCACGTTAGGAACAAATATGGGTGGTGAACAAATGTATGGTACAGCAACAAAAAGACAATCCGGTGACCAAATAACCCCACAAGCGAGCAGGTGACGCACGAGTGTGTCATGAGCGTAGCGGAAACGAGGCACAGAAAGAAGCACCGCAAGGCTCACCAACAGATTCGGTCGTCTTACGAAAGTTTGCCCTATAGCGGAGCGACAAAGCTACGAACTGAAAGTCACCTGTTTTGCGTGAAAGTGAACGACTGCAATTCAGTCTGGTTGGAGGTAACTAAGGCGTTACAATTGCTTTGAGCCCGCCGTAAACGACTGAGTACCAAGCTAACCGCAGCGTCAATCGGAACATGGGAATAAGCCGTCGGTTCGTCCGCTTCCACTGAAGACTGTACATCTAGACAACTCTTTCGTACATCCATGGAGCGACCACACAGATTCGACCCGGACTTTGAACCCAGCTGAACAAAAGGATTGTTGTATGAAGATCCCGTCATGTTGGAGCCAGAAGACGCACCAGTTGATGTAGCAGACGGATGTGGTATATTTGCCGGGCCGAGTAACCCATCTCCAGGTTTCGTCAATCCGCTGATAAGTGTGGGAACATGGCGAACAGCGGGTACCGTTGACTGGATGGGGGCCATAGTGGTCACAGGTTGAGCAGTAGACAGAACATCGGTATCAGCGCCTGACGATCTTGGAGTCTAAAAAATGTATAAATTAAATCGATAGTTTACCAGGAGAGAGAGGCCAGCTTTCAATCAAGTATTTCACAATCGTCTAGAGAATGTACAACTAGTATTTGGTCCAATTAGGATATCAACTTAAATGGATCTTGATACAGCAAGTTATCGTAAGGATTTCACAAGTTGACTGTACGTTGAGATTGCTCTATTTAACCGGAAATTTAACCCCTAAGGTAGTGAGATAGTGTATACCAAAGATAAATCATAGAAAGGCAGCGTTGTTTAGATAAATTTGTCACCATTGATGAGTGCTGCTGTCAAGATATACTTTGGCTTTCTACTTATTGACTACATAATTGGAACACTGGTGTTGAGTCTGGCCACGCATTAGTTTTGATACAGTTTACTCTCCAACTCACTGACTGGCGACAAGACCAACGAGCTCGGTTAGCTCATCATCGCCTACCTGTCCCAGCAGTTCGTGCACGCTATGATTCAGAGCTGGTGCGTGAGATAGGCGTGCCTCAATTTGATGGTGGATGAGCATCGGAATCAGGCTAGGCGAGCAATGCGTTCCACAGCGAATGTTGCTTGTGAGTTAACCCGTTGGAGGAACTGGACATCCTGAGTCAGTAATCTTGATGGAGAAAAAACGACGAATCCCGACCAGCGAGGATCAAAACATTGTTAGGTGGCGTCTGCAACATCAGCTCACGAAGGAACTTAAAAACTGGTGGACAGCAATGGCTAGCGTAATGGACGTAGTGGTTGCTTCAGGGAAAAAACTGTTCCAAATGATATACAACACGGGAGGTTGGTGAACCCGTTAGTGGAACATTCCACGACAGAAGGGGACAAGCTATTCAAAATAGGGAGCAACGGCTGATCGCTGGGCATAGCATTTTAGCGAACAGTTCAGATAGCCTGATGTCAGTCAGATTACCTCATTTGCAACTGCAGCTTCGTGGGTAGTATCGTGCGATACTTCGGTAGAAGTAGAGGGTGGATCTTGCATTCAAGTTCTAAAGCGAGGAAGAGCAGTAGGACCGGACGGGCTTCCTCCTACTGTTTTCAAGATGCGGGAGGGTGACAACCTGTCAACCTCTAAGTAATTTACAGCAAATTAGGTCGCAAGAGCGCATTCCCTCATCTTGAGGCGAATCGCAAACCAATTTGATACTAAGAGATCTCGCGACGACTGCTCACACCACCGCGGGATAAGTTAAATCCCAGTCATCACATAAGTATTAGCTTTCGGAATGGTTGTAATGTATTTATCAAATCTTCACGTTTCGTCAGATCCTTGATCTGTATCACACCCACCATCGATCGCAGTGCTCCTTGACCTGGAACGAGCCTTCGACTCAGTTGACCGGGAAGTCTTAATGGGTTCCTTTCGAAAAGGAACGCCCCAGAAGCGCTGACGTAACCGAACTCATATACCTCTGGTCGAGTGAGGGTTTAAAATGAACTATGTAGGTGGTTAGTCACCAACAGCGACGTCTGTCAAGGGTATTCTCTTTCGCCGCTCCTGCTCAATTTCGTAGTAGACGAAATTCTAGAGAAGGCACTTGATGGTCTTCAAAATGTTGACATTAAATAGGCAGCTGGAGAAAAACTATGCGATTTAGTTCAAGTCGATGACATTATCTGTATTTTCAAATGTACGGAGGACTGGCGAAGCGCATTTGATAGAAGTGTTGTTACCCCATTCGAAATTTG